TTTAAGGTGATAGCTTTGGCCATTTGGGGGAGTTACTCAGTTTTCCTGATATCTGTGTGTCTACAGTAGGTGTACATATCATTAAACTGCTTGGGCTTTTTTCCTGCTAATCTGTTTTCTATTACATGAGGTCTCAGCCAAGAAGCTAGAAGGGTGGAGAGAAAATTATTTTTCTTCCCTGACAGTCTACATTATGTATTTTGGGAATGATACATACACCCACCCTTATTCACTTGTACCCATATGATGGAGTAGTGACAATGACCCAAAGAGGTAGAGAACAGTGAGATTTGTTGCCGACAGACTGAAGGAAAGAGTTTAGATAAATACTCTACTCTGTCTACTACAGTGACTTGGTGATGGCATATGAGGGGTAACCTTGTGTGGCAAAGAAGTGTAGAAATACTGCTTCTGAGTATGAAAACATTTTGCCACATCCACACCATGTAAAATGTAAATTATCTAATATTTTTTATAAACTTAGGTTGATTTGGTCTTTTGAAAGACTTCATCCCAAGCAATCATAATTTTAAAATGGTAAGCTTGATAAGCCAGTTGTAGTTTTTTATTTTATTTTATTTTATTTTATAAGCCAGTTGTAGTTTTTAAAATTTAAAATAAATCCATGAATTTATGCCAAATTAAGATTTTTCAACAAAATAGTGGTTGCTGGGGGGGGTTGGGCAAACGGGTGAAGGGGAGATACAGGTTTCTTGTTATGGAATTAATAAGCCATGGAAATAAAAAGCAAAGCATAGGAAATACCATCAATGATATTATAATGATGCTGTGTGATGGGAGATGTAGCTACACTTGTGGTTAGCACAGCATAACATTACATGTTGAATCACTATAGTACATCTGAAACTAATATGTCTTCAATAAAAAAAAAGATTTTTCTATATGTACTCACATTTCATACATGTAAACAGTATATATTTTTTTTAAGATTTTATTTATTTATTTGACAGAGAGAGACACAGCGAGAGAGGGAACACAAGCAGGGGGAGTGGGAGAGGGAGAAGCAAGCTTCCCGCCGAGCAGGGAGCCCGATGCGGGGCTCGATCCCAGGACCCTGGGATCATGACCTGAGCCAAAGGCAGACGCTTAACGACTGAGCCACCCAGGCGCCCCTAAACAGTATAATTTTAAAGGCTAACTTGTGGACCACCAAAATTATCTCACGTATCATTTAGTGTTCGTACTGTACTTTCAACTGTTTTGAATATAATGACCAGACAGGGAAAATTTACAACAATTAAAGAAGGACTTCTTAAAAATCTGTATACCTGTAAATTCAGTCAATCATAATTATTACTCTAATCTTGTAGTCATTAATCTCAATTATAGTTTCCCCTTTTTTGAGAAGGGGGAATTATATTTTCCTCCATGCTCTTCCATGTACTAATTGGGGACTTGCAGATTGCGCTGACAAAAGACAGAGTAACAGGGCAAAATCCTTCCCATGCATATGCGGCAAGCAGGAATGGCTCCCTGAAGTGCTAAGGACCCGGGTCTGCAACCTACCTTTCTGGGGAAGCAGGGAGAAGAGGTTTCTGTGGGAACACATGAGTTTCTAATGAGAATGAGCAGGAGATAAGAATGTTGTGATAACGTGTGTTCATGTAGGAGTTACTGTTTGCTAGTTCGGTTTGTTTTCCAGATGGCCATAACCATTCATGGCATCTTCGCTTCCAGAAGTTTCTGTTTTTTAGTGAGATAAAAGAAGAATTCTTTCTGTATATGTTCAATCTCAAATATCATTAAAATAGCCTTTATATCAACTCTGAAACTCTTAGTGGTCCTCACACTCTGGAAATTTAAACATTTTTCCCCACGATTTGACCACACTCTGTCTTATAATGGTTCTAAACACTACAGAAGCTGGATTCCCAGAGTTATTGTATTCCTAAATGGTTGTATAGGCAAAATTCCACCAATAAAGATTTTTCAGCCTTCTGAGATTTTACCCTAGAACCCTTCCTTACAACATTTCTTGAGCAACAAGATTGGGAAAGAACATAACTGAAATGCAGAGTTGTGCACAAAGCTTGAGAGTATTTTTAACTGGTAAGCAAATATCGATGTCTGGTAAATGTCACACAGGAAAACACTAAGCAACATAAAATAAAATGTCAGTCCATTCGTATATTACTTTCTTAACATGCAGTGTAATATTAGTGTCAGGTGTACAATATAGTGATTCAACGCTTCCATACATCACCCCATGCTCATCATAAGTGCCCTCCTTAATCCCCAGCACCTGTTTCCCCTACCACCCATCCCCACTGGTAACCAAGTATATTACTTTAAAAAAAAAATCAATGAGGTAAATGCACATACCATAAAATTAGCCACTGTAAAGTGAACACTTCAGTGGCATTTGGCACATTGACGCTGTTGCGCTTCCGCCACTTCTATCCATCCCCCAAACATTTCATCCCAAAAAGAAGTCTTACACTCCTCAAGCCTTCTTTCCCCACCCCTGCTCTCTCAGCCCCTGGCAGTCACCAATGTGTCTGGGTGGCTTTACCTATTCTGGATGTTTCATGTTTTTATCTGGTGTTTTTCACTTTGCATTAATGTGTGCAATGTTTATCCATGTTGTAGTGTATGTCAGTACTTCATTCCTTCCCGTGGCTGTGCCATTGTGTGTGTGTATCCCAAATGTGTGTGTGTGTATCCTATATATATATATATATATATATATATATATATATAACAAAATTTGTCTACCCATTCATTCATTGGTGGATATTTTGACTGCTGCCAACTTTTGGCCATGGTGAATAGTGCTGCTATGAACATGTATGTAAGTATAATTACTTTTTGGAGTTGTACAGAATAGAATTTTAAGGAGACAGAAAAAAAATGGAATAAGTTTTCAAAATAACAAAATGCTATGAAAGTAAAGACACTCTAGATTCCACCATAATGAACGACAAACCACCACCACTCTCACAGTGGGTGTTCTGGACAGAGATGACTTGGGTCCGATGTTTTTTCCTTGTGTCCTCCTGCTGAACTCTCTTTAGATACATATAATCAATGTAAATGAAATGTAATGTAATGAAATCACTTCTACTCTTGAACATGGGCTGCCCATAGTGTTTTTTTCCCCCAAAGAAATGAAAAGGGAAAAAAGAGTAAATTGACAGTGGGGAAATCTCATGAACACAATCTCAACCAGGTGATCAAGGTTAGCATAAAGGATGAGTTGTGTTGATAATATATACTCTTGATATAATGTGCTGACAGGACACTGGACCTCTATGGTCTCCCTCCCCAAAATGCTTCCCCCCCGTCTGATCTTGAGACAAACATCAAAGTCCCCACTGAAGAACACTCTACAAAATGCCTGGCTAGTACTCAACATTGTCAAGGTAACCAAAAACAAGGGAAGTTGGAGAAATTTTCAGAGCCAAAAGGAGCCTGAGAAGACGTGATGGCTACATGTAGGCGGGTCCCGGATGGTATCCTGGGATGGAAAACGCATGTCAGAAACTAGCAATGTCTCTGCAGAAGGGATCATAGTTAGTAACAATGTATCCTCAAAGCAAAAAGTACTGGGCCAGCTGAGGAAGGAAGACCTTCCTGTTTCAATAAGAAGGACGAGGAATGCAGTCTGAGCTCAAGTCCACTGAAAGAAGGGCTAGAGCATTGCTAAGAGTCCAGATGGGAGTTCTCCTCACAAGAAATTTTTTTTTCTTTTTTTTTTTCTGTGCCTGTATGAGATGATAGATGCTAACTAAACCTATTGTAAAAATCCTTTCACGTATATGTATGTCAAATCATTACATTGCACACCCTAAACTCATGCAGTGCTATATGTCAATTATATCTCAGTAAAACTGGGAAAAACCAAACAAGGAAGAAAAAAAAATCCCTGCTCTCTTGGCAATACGATGTGTCGTGGGAAAGAGTGAAAGTTGAACAGATAATTGCCATAATTGCTGCAAGGTCACTCTTCCTAGAAACTGTAGTTTTAGAGTCCCAAAGAATGAAGAAGCAAAATAAAACAAGTATCATCTAGAAGCTCAGAAAACTAGGTTATTTCAGTGACAACAGTGTGCTCCCTGAAGACCAGCAGTGCTGGTCTCAAAATACTTGATAACAGAAATGCTTGTGTGAGCCATTAAACATTTCTCTGTTAAAAGTGCAGCAGACCTGCCAGGTTTTCTTCTCTTCCTTTTTTTCTCCCTTCATTTTACTTTTCTGAGAATTTGGGTTTTTTTGTTTTTTGTTGTTGTTGTTGTTTGTTTTTAGAAATAACCAAAATTTATCTAAAGTTTTTCTTTTAAAAAAAAAAGATTTATTTATTTGGGAGAGTGTGAGCGAGAGGGAGAGAGAGAAAGAGTGTGAGTGAGAACACGAGTCAGGGAGGGACAATGGGAGAGGGAGAAGCAGACTCCCTGCTGAACAAGGAGCGCAATGTGGGACTTGATCCCCCGACCCTGGGATCATGACCTGAGCCGAAGGCAGACGCTTAATGACTGAGCCACCCAGGCGCCCCTAAAATTTGTCTACATTGCTTGAAACATCATCAAAAATCAAAGACGGAGCTGGGTGGGCGTGGGGTAGAGGAATCAAGAGCCAACTGTGTTTGCTAAGTGGCCTTCTCAAAGGAGAAGTGACATTGTGTTGTACTCCAAGGATGGGAGATAGTTTCATACCTTGGAGCAAGCCTCCTATGGACCTTAGGCTCCTACCCTCCCATGGAGACTGAGAGGTGGGGGTCTGTCTTCTTTGGTGATTATGGCTCCCGGATCCTTGAGACGGAGTGCTGGATTATAAAACTGGCAGAAGTTTGAGCTGCAGGTTGATTGCCATCTCAAAAGGCAGAGAAAGAATGTACAGTCGCAAGTTTTCTAAAGTAAATGCCCAAAAGAGTGGCTGGGCCTGTAATCGGGAAGAAACCTGTCTACCGTCTAGTCAAGCTGAAGAAAATGTTCGGTCCATCTCATTGTTTTTTGTGTTTCTTTTCCTTTTTCCTCTCATAGGACCGTGCACAAAATCTGAATGAGCGGCGAACCACTACCACCACCCTCACAGTGGACGTTCTGGACGGAGATGACTTGGGTCCTGTGTTTCTTCCTTGTGTCCTGGTGCCAAACACACCTGACTGTCGCCCGCTCACCTACCAAGCCGCCATCCCTGAATTGAGAACTCCGGTAAATGTGCTCACATTCTTTCCCCTTCACTCATATCTCTTTATCCTCAGTGAGATCCAATTCCAGTAGTTTGTAGACATATTAGCTGAGAAGAGCAAACTTCACTATATGGACACTGAAAGTGTCTAAAACCATTTTCAGAGAGTATGGCAAAATTTGGTGACCATGCATTACTGCATCATTTACAAAGTCCGAAGTGTGTCATGATGCAACCATTCATTTGACACTGATTATTTTCTTTTCCACCTATAAATCATAACCGAGTTCAGTTGCCAACCTATTCTAGGAAACTCCAAGAAATAGCTTCAGCATTTCCTTAAGTTCACCAAATCAACAAACATAGAGTCTAAAGTCAGAAGACACACGGGCCAACAGGATACTTGTCAGCCTTTAACATCCTACGATGTTATTGGAGATTGCACTTGGCTGTTTGGAGGTGGAAGCTAATGAATCCCAAATGCAAATATCTATCCCTTAAAGATGTGTTTTAAAGAAGCAGAAACGTAAGGCATGAATATGGATCTGGTATGCCGATTTTGCTTCTGTTTTGTTTTTGCCTCTTTTTTAAAATTCTAATAGAGCTCTAAGTCACTGTTAGCCTGGAATTCACACCTCGGACCTAGCTGGGTGATAAATATTTATACCTAAGAATAAAAATTGTAAGGCAAATATAAACTAAAATATCAATTTCTCCCTTAAAAGTAAAAAAAAAATAATTCTCTTTTAGAGAAGCTAAATTCCTAGGGAGTGAATGTCTTTGCGGTTCCTCTGGAAAGCATTCAGCTTTCTGGGTGAGTAACGTGGCTCATGATGTCAGAATTTATTGGAAGGTATTCAAATTTTTTTTTTTTTCTCAAACATGTAAGAACTGTGGTTTGGGGTATCCTCTCTGTATTTGAGATGGTTAAAATATAAAAAAAAAATTCCTTCTCCTAAGTGTAAATGATGTTGCGTTCTATGCTTGCTAAGGATTCTTCTTATGCAATGTTGCATGTCTGATCCTTACTTTAAGATTTAGTAAATCTTAAATGGCTGAGATTCACTGTTGTGTCTTCCAGCATAAATAACTACTGGTCTAGTTGGCTTATGTGAAGAAAAAAAAAAAAAAAGCTGGAGAAAAAAAAGAATAAAAGTTATGATGTGCATTTAATGAAGAAAAGTATAATCGAATTTTCAGCTCTATGGAGTAAGTTTGAAGACAAAAGGCTAATGTAGAAATTGTGTGGACAAATAGTTGTAGATCACCTAAAGTTATATGTCATGATAGGATTTTGTGGAATATTCCAGTAAGATGACTATTAATGATAGTGAACATTAATTTTTTTCTTGGAAAAACTTAATTGATATTATGAGGAAAAAATATTTTACTTAAAATATTTTACTTATTTTTGAGTTGATTTACGTAGCTGTCATATCCATGAGGTCCCCAAGAGAAGGGGCATAGTGACACAGTGACTGGAATCGATGGCTCAGTGCGGGATGCTAACAGTACTTGATAGCTTGAGGGAAGAGGCAAAGGTCGCTGCCCCAGAAGCAGAGGGTATTGACTTTATAAAGCCCCTCATCCGTCCCTCTCTCTTCCAGATGGCCGATGGAGCATCTCTCTCATTCCCCTTCAGTGCACTATAGATGAGGCCATGCTCCATATTTGGGGGAATGAAAATAAATGGTACTAGGGACTAATGGTTATATAGATTGTTCCATGTGTCATGAACTGGGCAAAAGTCTTCAGTGATATTAACTGCAATCCTGGTGGGTAGCTGCCACTCTTAAGATCACTTGAGAGACGAGATCTCTAACATAGAGTTTATGTAACTTTTTTTTTTTTTAAAGATTTTATTTGAGAGAGAGAGACTGAGAGAGAGAAAGAGCATGAGAGGGGGGAGGGTCAGAGGGAGAAGCAGACTCCCTGCCGAGCAGGGAGCCCGATACGGGACTCGATCCCGGGACTCCAGGATCATGACCTGAGCCGAAGGCAGTGGCTTAACCAACTGAGCCACCCAGGCGCCCGAGTTTATGTAACTTTTTATGGTCTTACAACGAATACATAAAAAACCATTTTCTTTTAAAATCATGTCTTTTGAATTAAATGTCCTGCTATAAATTCCAGAATGATCAAACTTTATGCTTCATCATCCCTTTTACTAGATTGACCCTTTCTTTAACATTCTGTGAAATGGAGAATTTTAATTTTACATATTTGAATAGTGATAGCAAATATTTATTTATTATAAAGGGTATATTTTTATTGCCACGTAGAAAAAATTATATGTACTTGCAGAATTAAGCACCTGTTCTGATTATCAATCGCTGCATAAAACAATCACCAAAACCCAGTGGCTTCAAATCACAGTTTTTAAATTTGCTCATAAAAGCTGCAGTTTGGGCGGACTCTGCTCCACATAGCAGCAGCTGAGGATCCTTACCTGAGGCTTGGGTACCAGTGTTAGAATGGTTCACTTGGCATGTGGATTCTGACTGTTGGCTGGAACCCAGCCAGGGCTGTGAGCAGAAGCTTCAGTCCCACTCCACGCGGGTCTCCCTCTGGCTGTTGGGGCTTCTCACACCGAGGCACTGGATTCAAGAACTAGCTTCCCAAGGGGATGAGGCAGAACTTGTAGGAATTGGCTTGCAATCTACAGTGTCCCTTCTGTTGTAGTTAAACCTCAGCCAGAGTCAAGGACTATCAGTAGGTACCATGTCCTGATAGGAGGAGTATAGAAGTCACATTGTTAGAACATCTGGGGATGGAAATCTTATTGTGGCAGTTGTTGGAAACTGAAATCTCCCATGGTGTGGACATCAGGCTTCCTGGCTCTTTTCTGCATATGCCGCTTTGGACCCTCCCCACTCCCCCCTCGCCCCCCACCCGGTTTCACAAGCGTTAAGAACTAGAGCCAGTTTTTGAGCTTCACATTCAAATTGCTGTGAAATTATGTCTTTCCTTTCCACTAAAAAAAAATTTCCTTTCTTAAAAGTTTCCTTTACATATTTTGCTAAAATTTCTGGAAATTTCAATAAAGTCTTGCTATTCAGGGCGAGAGAACTAACCATTTATGTCAGCTAAACAAGACATGATGACTGTAATTACATACTTGCTGATCCTTTTCTGAACTAATTCTTCAAATTTTGAAAGCTTTGACACCTGCTCACCTTCTGTGTTGATGTGAAATTTTCCACCAATTACCTCAGTGGTATTCTTGACTTGAAAAACCATTCTTAGTTCTGCCACAATGCATGCAGAATTTATCAGCTCACAAAAACTTTAAAAGGAAGTCTGGTACAGTGTTTAACTCATGAACCAGGATATAACAAAACTAAAAATCGACTATTTATTGAAATACAAATAACCATGTGTTTATAGAGAAACTTATTCAGTAACTGTTTTATCTGTTTTTCTACAACAGAAGATGGTCTTCACAGACACTAAGATTAATATTATATTGAATATGTAAATACATAGATCTGGTGTCTCTGGGGTACTAAAGTAATTTGTCATTCTGAAAATTTCTAAAAAATTCACTTACTAATTTGATAAGTATGTCCTGGCCCCCTGATGTATGCTCAACTCTGTGCTAATTGAGGACATAAGTAGGATGAGATGAATCCTTTTCAATATTGTGTAAATTTATTCTCACTTTCTGACTCTATGTTGTTATTATGCCTGTCTGGTTGAAGTTTCATGATGTTATGGAAAACTCCCGTAGATTTTGGAGAGTACAGAACCCTCCGCTCTGTTTGTTTTCTCTTGAAGTGCAAAGACACAGCAAATGCTCACACTTTCTTTTCTTTCATGATTGAACAGTTGATCCTGTTTGGTTGGTTGGTTGGTATTTTGCTGAGTAATTTGTCCCTGGAAACACTGTAGTATTAATATGATATAGATGTATTATCTGTGTGTTTCCTGGATGTACCTCTCTTTACTTAGTGCTTGCCAGAATGGTCATTAGGAGCTAGGATCCACACTCCAGTGAGCTCTTTGCATCCTTGTTGAGTTGGGTCCCAGGACTGTCTACCTACAAGCACTTGTATATAATCTGTCTCAAAGAACTCTGGTTTTCATGAAACTGTCAAAGACAGGCCCTCTGCTGTATTTATGGTGTTCTCCCCTTCCAGAGACACTTCCCCAGTTATTACGGGAGTGGCGGTGATCTGCAGTGATGGACAACATTGATACTTTCCTCTTGACTCATGCTCATCGAGCAATCCAGGAACGTCCTCCTCTTCTCTTTTATGAAACTACCGGTTCTTCTTTTCCCCTCCTGGCCCTGCTCTCGTTTCTCCTATATCTTTGATGGCTTGGTTTTTGGGTTTTTTTCTAAATAAATCTCTCTGCTTAATTTTTTTACTTATGTATTTGTTTAATTATTATTATTTTTTTTTGCTTATTCTTAAATCTTGGTGATTTTCCAGACTTCTATCCTTTGAAACTTTTTTTTCACTATAGTTTTCACTAAGAGTCATCAAACCATCAATAATAAAGGGTTCTATTTTTCTTCAAATAGGGATGATCTGTGTGTTGTGGGAGTGTGTTCTGACTTGGAATCTTTCCTGACCTCCAAGCTTGCATTTCTCACTTTTTCTAGATATTTTTATGTGTTTTCCACAGATGCCTCATTATCCTTTCTAATGTGTTCATCCTTCTCTTGTTCACCTCCTGTTACCCTTGAGGTCATTGTGGATTTGGACCTTTACTTCACTGACCCCTACACCAAACTCCATCAGTTTCCACAGATCCTTCTGCACTGTCTATAGGATGTTACTCACATATGTGCAATGCCCAGTTCTACTGCCAAAATATGCATTGAAAGACATACTCTCCAGGCACCTGGGGGGCTCAGTCAGTTAAGCAGCTGACTCTTGGTTTTGACTCAGGTCACGATCTCAGGGTCCTGGGACCAAGCCCTGCATGGGATCTGCACTCAGTGCAGAGTCTGCTTGAGATTCTCTCTCTCTCTCTCTCCCTCTGCCTCTCCCCTGACTCGCATGCTCTCTCTAAA